TTAGCCTGTAAGCTAAAGGTCAGTACTGGATAGAATCTATCTAATAATTCCAAACACTCCCCCTTGCCCTGCTCTCTGAATGTTTCTTCATTGTTAAAGATCCAGTGTGTAATGTTTAGATGAAAGGGATCTATAGGCAGAAATTGAATATAAAATAATCCTTGTGATGKTTTCACTAATGTGTTTCATCTAATCTGTGCGAATTGTGGTTTTCTTTATGAGCCTTTATATTTAAATAATTCATATTTACTCCAGGAGCGGATCCTCTCTATGGAGGCCGCCATGTTTTTTATAGTAGTCCAACTGAACAAACTAAACACCTTTACGAGTATGAAGGCTACCACAGGTTCTCTTTCATGTTTGGAAGGGTGAGGTAAAGGGATTCCAGCTGCAACATGCAACTTCACTACTAGATGTCACTAAATTCTACACACTGAATCTTAAATGTATTATGCTGTTGAAAGTATTTTTTAGTTTTAGAAATTGAAGGAAGGATCCCTGTCTGAATGGATGTTCAACAATGGGGGGCAAAAACATCATCAAATCATCCTTGCTCAATGGTGAACTTCACACAGCATAATGCTTCAGCCATCAAAATGTCAAATTTACACAGTAAATGCTGTTGGTGTTTCGGGAACAATATCCAGTGTGTGAGCCGTGAATACCTCATTAACCAAATCAGACTGCAGTTGTGCTGCATTAGCAAGAGATTGACCTTTGAGTAAGATTGGACATTTATGTTAAGGCCATGCAACAATGACGTGTTGTATTGCACAACAGTAGTGACTCATAAAAACATAAAAGCACAGTGCTTTAGAGCTAAAGAGGCCCAGCCAAGGTGAGATAAATAAGACTGCATGCATGTACTATACATTAGTTCTGGCACCTCTACTGAGGGTACATTGGGTAGATAGATCATGTCTCTGAAGGAGTTCACAGATGAACTATTGCTATTGCAATTCTAAGCTTGTTCATGACCATTTTCATAAGAGGCCAACCCTTACACAGTTAGAAGACCTCTTTAATTTCAGCTTAAAAAAACACATATTATTGGATGTGAGAAATCAAATAGAGATCCATCTTTATCCTGCGCTTCTCTATTATCAAATCCCAACACATTTTAATAAATCACGTGGTGAACAAAGATGCCAGCCAGCAATATCTTAATATCATAACACATTGCGGACATTTTATTCAAATAATCAAGAAAAATATGCTTTTCAATTGGCACATTCTCTCCATTGCAAATCCCCCATTATCCAAGAGAGGAAACAGACAAAACATTTTTCAGTCTAATCATCCCAGCTGAGATGACCCAACCACTGCATGTCCCACTTCCATATTAATAATAGAACCAGTTTCCAGTTTGCTTCCTGCTGCAGTCATCATGATGTCTGATAGAAACAAAAGCAGT